CACGGAGTTCGAGGAATACTTTGCCCGACATCGTATTACTTTCTCCCCCATTTCTTCGTTCTTCGTTCTTCAATTGGTTTTGTTTCCGAAATATGAGAAGTACATTGTCTAAAGGGATTTATGAAGGAAAGAGCATAAGAATGAGGTCGTCGATGTCAGTACACCTTTTTTTGGGGGAATGTAAAATGTTCAATGTTAAAAATTTAGTCCATCGCGATTACATTTGTATGTTACAAGTGCCTCAAAATATTTTGTCTTTTTTATTATATCATTTCGGCCTTCAACAATTGTGGCCGCTTGTCCTTATTGCAGGAAACGTATTTATCATTGAATTGAAATTCGTAAGAGGAGTCAAAAATTAGATTAATCATCGATCGAGAAGTGGCCGCCTAGGGAGTTTTTTCGCTCCGTGGGAGAAGGCTCGTAACTTTTCGAACCACATACGCGAACCCTGAAAGATAAACCTCCTCGTAAGTACTGACTCGACCGGTTTCTTTTTTTGCCCTGGTGTACCATCAAAGGAGGGACAGTACACTCGACCATTGCTGACTGGCATCTGTTACAAAACGATGCTTACAAGCATCTACACAACGTATATACAGAACAGAAAGTTTAACGTTAAACGTTAAACGAACTCGCGCTTTCCTTGGAATTTCCCAAACTTTCGTTCCGGAATTTCGATCGCTGCCTCCTGGAGTAGTGGCTGGAAGACTTGGGAGGGTGGGGAAGAGAGTGGAGGAGACATATCCTCCTTCCTGGAACGTTTTGTCGCACTTTACCGGTTTCATCTAGCCGATTCTGAGTCACTTTTACTTTTTTGCGGTTTCAAACACGTAATTCCCCGTGTTATGTTAAATCGTTTTGATTCCCGAGAAATTTTCGGTGTCGCCGTTGCTGGTACAACGGTGTCCTAGAGGTTAGGTATATAACTCCAACTAGAACTATAAGGACACTGAAATCTTCATGTGTGTAAATTCATCCTTGTATCGTTCGCTTCGAATATTTATCCGAACACGAAGATAAAATTCCAGGTTACATTATATTCGCTACACTCACGGTTCAGGGACAGAGACAATCCCCTATTCTGCGCACACCCGCGTCTGTAATGTACAGTCCGAAATGCAGCCTCCGAACAGTTTAGCCCCTGACCGGAGAGCACGAATCGCGTCGCTCGCAATAACCAAACGAGAGTGATACCTACGGACGGGTCAATGCCGATCGATTTTCAATGCGAAAACTCCGTGGCGAACGGTGCTAATTCCAAGACACATTACTTATTCCTGTAGTACCGGCGGAATCGGTAGGATAGTCAAGACTGTACGAAGCGGCGCGAGTCGAACGGAGAAAGAGAAAGGAAGGGAAAGGGCGAAGAGAGGATGGAGGGCAAGCAGGCAGGCAGGCGTTGGAGAACCGAAGTTTCGCTTTAGGAGCGGAGAACTTAACTGAGTTAACTTTGCTGCCGAACCAAACTTTCCGCCAACTTTAAGTAGTCGCCTCTCCTCTCCCTCTTCTCCTCCTCCTCCCTTCTTGCACCCATGGCCGTTCGTTGGGCTGCCCGCTGGAGAGACGAACGCGGAGGCGGAAGGTGCGGAGCAACAGCCCCTCTCTTACCCCTTTTCCCAACCATTCCATCGTGGCCGAGGATGAGAATGCCCGAACGCCGACACCGATACTCGTCATCATAATTGGACGAGTTTCTTCTCTTTGTTCGTTCGTCCTCCTTTTTTTTTCAACAACTTAAAGCAAACGGTCTCTCCCCTCCCCCTTTGTACAGGCATTTTGTTTTAGTGCACTCTTTAACGGATTATTGTTCCTCGAAAATACTTTAAACTGTGGCTGTGCATAGGCTGATGTCTGTATTGAATAGCTTGTACTTTTGATCTGTATTTTTCTTAAAAAGTAACTTTCCGCCTTTAATATTTGTTATACTGGTGGTGTGCAGTATGTAGATCTATTCTACAGAGGATATTGGAATAAATGGTAATCTCTTTCGCGGTGGATAAGAAACAAAAAGCGATGAAAAAAAATGAGGTATAGTGGGTTACACCTTTACATTTTTTATTGTTCTTGCGATTTATCTAGTAACCATGGAAGTGGGTCGTATAACTCACGATACATCCTCTGTAATATTATCAAAATATTTTAATTCGCAGCCAAATGTCGTAATTTCGAAAAATTCATTTTTTTCATCCACTGTATTAGGTGTGTTTGCAACTGCATTTTATAATGGTATGAAAACAGTGAAAATTTCCATTTAAACATTGTAAAAGAAATTGACATCTGGAATTTTTAGTAGTACATTTCCTCTGTCTATCAGGTAGCAAGAATTTGAGGTGTTCACACTGGAAAAAGTTCCAGAAACGTATTGTTGACGAACCTCATAACTCAATCAACGACGTGATTCTCAAGTTTGAATTCCCCTATCGGTTAATACAAAAGGAAAAAAAAACTTGCGATTATTATCGCAAGCGAAGTCGTTTGAATTTCACGTGTCACTAACAAAAACCCAGTCACCTCTCGGCAAGTTTTGAAACAAACTTTACTTTATCGTGGCTCGATTGTTGGGTGGAAGGGAGCCGACAGGACGAGCTTCCCTCCCACCAACGGTTCTCCGCCAAGTAAAGTTGCTCCCAGGTTAGACAATAATTGGATAACTTCGCCCTCATAGCTCCCCATCCCACCGGCAGCTTCGTCGCCCCACCCCTCGACTCTGTCGCCCTTCCCCTCCCTGCCAGCCATCGTTGGCTGCATCTGTAACTCGAAAAACTCTGTTGCACACCGAGATTAACTTGAAGGGTTGAATTCGACCGCTTAGCCGGAACGTCCGCTTTAAAAGTTCGATGAATTTTTAACTTGCACGAAAATGTTCCTCTGATGGTTCAAGAAACAAGCTACTCCAAGAGGACACAAACCTTTACCAAAAATACTTAAAGGTTTAGTAGACAGACACCTTTACCGAACACGGTACACTTTCAGTTATTTAAACATTTCGTAAACTAATGGCCGTCCACACGGTTGAAGCAAAAAATGCCCATTGGCTTGATGATTTCAAGCCTTATCATCGGACAAAACCTACTGAAAAAGTCAACGTTTCACCTGGGGCGATCTTTTCTTGTTAGGCCTTTGAAATTTTTGAATTTGTTAAATATAGGTTAAATACTGGGATTCTTAAGCTAGAGTCTAACATAGGAAATTTCTACGTCAGAATTCTAATTGGCATGGAACTGTAGTCCCGGTTGCAAGTGTAGTTAACTATGCACAACCGTACGGGTAAATACAGTATTACGAGTCTCTTTCTAAGTGCACTTCCTCGACACATTGCTCTCCCTGCTACTAACCATGTATTACGTATGATATACGCTGCCAGCTGTCGAACAAGGGCTTAATCTCGCCTCCTTGCCTCTCCTCCTTTTGATGATATGAGCTTGCATTTTCGCTGAGTTGGCACAACATGTGCCCAAGTCAAAGTGCTTGGGTTTGCACTCTGCGTTAGTATCGCATCCTTGCTTTCGCTGAGACCAGCACCGATCTCATTTTCTAGCCTTCTCCGCGGTCTCTGTTTCCGATTACTTATGTGTATATTGACCGACAGATCAAACATTCCTCTCCCGCTTGTCTTTCCCGTCACGGTCGTGCGTAAACGAATCTTAATGTGTATCATTTATCCTGTATTAACCCAATCACATGGAATGCTACCACTTCGGTGGGCCAGGCCTGGGCTCTGCCCATTGATGAAATCTCTGACAGTACTCTTAATAAACAGAGACATGCATGACGCACACACGCAGACAGGACATACAAATTTTTTTCAAGTTTTCGAAGGAGATCCCCAAGGTTCCGGGTAATTTAATAGATATATTTTTTAATTGAACTGTGTGTTTGACAGATTCTGCTGTAATTCATCAAAAGCATTTGTTAAAATGCTTCAGTACGTTTTCATTTTTTTGTTTTTGATGATTCAAGGAACTGTCTTCATGGTTACCTTGAGTAAAGAAATATTCGGCATTGTTAAATAAAGAGTATTTTAATGTTGCTCAATTTGTTCATAGAAAAACAAATTGTTGAAGTACTTTCTCGCAAGTTTGATTTATTTTTTATGATCTCTCTGTTAAGTATTGTGTGATGACGGCGTCTGACGAGGGCGCCACGTGTCAGTTTCTCTACTTTCTTATGGAACTTCGCTGGTTCAGCATTTTTCCGTTCCGCCATATAAAAGCACCGGGTACTAAATCGACTCCGATCCAGCATATTTTTCTGTTTTCGTATAGTTGCCTGTGCATTAGACACTTTGGCGTAAGAGATGGCTCGGTAAACGCGTATTTATGAATTTATCGAGCAATCGGTTGGAATATTTATCGCGTGAACGCACTATGATTGGTTTACAATTGATGCCGAAAATGGGCTGAAAATGTCGACCCACTAACCAACGCCAGGCACTCTATTAACAGTTCCGAAAACATTTGCCCCAGCTAGTAATTCCGTTCTCAATGTACGGTGTGATCTGTGCGATTCTTTTTTCCTCTGTTTAGCATCGGGGTGTAGGAAGTTCGTTTGTATTTTTCGTTTGAGAAAACACGGTCATTGTGTTTCTCGGTTTTCTCGCGATTTCCGTACGTTTCTCTCACTGTGCTGAACACAACGCAGTGCGCAGGTTAAGCCGGCGCGTTTTAAGGTAACCTAAAATGTTCGGTTCTGTACACGCTGTTAGGTGTTTCACTTTTCCTGTCGTTTAAATTTTTACTTTAATGAAATGTCGATATATCGCGCGACACGTTGAATCTTTCAATACACGATATTGTATTCGCGTGTGAAGTAATAGTAATAATGCGTCGTATTGTATAGATTTCTCTACCATGAAGAAATTCATGAAGGCGTCGAAATGTATGTTTATTAACCGAAGTCCGTATTTCTTGCGTATTGCTTTCGTTTGTGTTATAAAGTGTTAGCAATATATATTTAAATAACTAATTATAACAAATATTGTTATTTAATGTTTTCAGGAGACGGTGTTCAACAAGTCGTGATGTGTTGGAGGTTCGGCGGTCCTTGTCCAAAAACCGACCAGAAATCAGTGTTAGGAAAGCAATTTGTGTGACAAAGCATAAAAGTGCAAAATTGTACACCCAGACATACGAAGAGGCTTCCTTACCAGTGGACAGTAGGACTTCCTTGGAAGAAAGCAAATATTTTTAGTGACACTGAGAGTACAAGTGAAAACTTTTAAAATTGGGGGGGCTGTTTGACCGATGGACAAACGGAAGATGATGCCCAAACGCCCTCGAATGGAGAACCTGAGGGGTCCTATTGCAAATGGACCCATTCAGACACGACCGTTAGTGGCTTTGTTAGATGGCAGAGACTGCTCTATTGAAATGCCTATCCTCAAAGATGTCGCAACTGTGGCCTTCTGTGATGCACAGTCTACATCTGAAATTCATGAAAAGGTGTGTTAATATGGTATCAAATTGAATTCCATCACACATTACATTATTGGATTTCATTTAGAAGGGATACATTTTATCTGTAATGTCTGATGAAAAAAGATGCTACTTTATTTATTTTATAGGTACTAAATGAAGCTGTAGGAGCATTAATGTGGCACACCATAATTTTGACAAAAGAAGATCTTGAAAAATTTAAAACTTTACGGATCATTGTAAGAATTGGATCTGGGGTAGATAACATAGATGTCAAGGCAGCAGGAGAACTTGGCATTGCTGTGTGCAATGTGCCCGGCTATGGCGTTGAAGAAGTAGCTGACACCACTCTTTGTCTCATTCTAAATTTATATCGACGTACGTACTGGTTGGCAAACATGGTACGCGAAGGAAAAAAATTCACAGGTCCAGAACAGGTGAGAATTTGAAGATATATACTTTTATTAGGCTTCCCCTTATATCATTGTATCTTTAGTTTACAAACTCTTGTGTTTTTTATTTCAGGTCAGGGAAGCTGCAACAGGATGCGCAAGGATACGGGGTGACACACTTGGAATAGTGGGGCTAGGTAGGATTGGCTCTGCCGTCGCATTGCGTGCCAAAGCATTTGGTTTCACTGTCATCTTTTACGATCCCTATCTACCAGATGGAATTGAAAAATCTCTTGGTCTTAATAGGGTCTACACATTACAGGTTTGGCTTCAAATATATTTTCTGTTAATGTGATAATGAAAAATGCTCACTTATAGTGTGTACAGAATTGTGCATAATTGGTTATTGTGATTTCTTGCAGGATTTGCTATTCCAGTCAGACTGTGTATCCTTGCATTGTACCTTGAACGAGCACAACCACCATTTAATTAATGAATTCACTATAAAACAGGTACTACAAAGTCATTATTTTTTGTCATTGTCAGTTGTTATTTTTAAAGTACACTGTATAATGTGATACATTCGAAATTAATCTCTGTTATTATTTGTTGTAGATGAGACCCGGCGCCTTTTTAGTCAATACAGCAAGAGGTGGTCTGGTAGATGATGATGCATTAGCCGCAGCGCTGAAGCAAGGCAGAATTCGTGCAGCAGCACTCGATGTACACGAAAATGAGCCATACAACGTCTTTCAGGGTCAGTCCTCGCAGTGTGAGTTTTATCTGTCCATACCTAATCCCCTCTTGTGTTAACTAATATTTCCCTTCTCCGTCCTGGTCCTTCTATACTGTTGGGTAATATATCAGAAGTACATGCTACAGAGGTCTGCTGTGGCATGGCTTAAACAAAGATTTTATAAACTGATATAAAACAGATAAATTGTATTAATGTTGATTGCATTAATTATTGAATTAAATTTCTCGAAATTTGAGTATTAGCTATTAAAGCATTTAAGAAGTATAAAAGTCTACTGAATAACTCCAATAAACGGTCTGGGTCATATTTCCTTTATGATTTATGATTAATGAGGTATTTTACCCAATATTAATGACTATATTAACGAATAATCACTTATACTATTACATAAATGTTGCATACAGTCGTGCTTGCCTGCGCTATAATTGACTTTGCTTGCTATACATACCACGCGGCCAGATACATAGATCGAAAATCCGTAAGCATCGAAATTGAAATAACCGAAATATCGATCTGTGTGTCTGTACTACAGGTCCATTGAAAGATGCGCCCAATCTGTTGTGCACACCACACGCAGCATTCTACAGCGATGCAAGTTGCACCGAACTTCGTGAGATGGCAGCCAGTGAAATACGAAGAGCTATCATCGGTCGCATACCCGACTGCTTGCGAAACTGTGTGAACAAGGAATACTTCTTTTCCTCAACCGGGTAAGCATCATTCACGTTAAACAGAGGCTATATATACATATACATGCATATATATATATATCTATATATATATATGTATATATTCACATTATTCAGCTTATTAAAAAAGAAAAAAAAAAAGAGCGTTAGGGTATACTTGAGTATCGTTGCCATTTGTTTCTCTTACACCGGGGAAAAAGATATCGTAATTTTTACAGAAACAGATTTTCAAGCAGATGTTAACTCGTATTACATGGAAAGAGAATCGAGTGTGTAAAGTAACGTGGTTAGAAGCGTTCGAACCTTTGGATTTCCTAAGATCGATTGGGCACTTTGTAAAAGGCATTTATCGAAGTGGCCAATTTCTTTTCGCTTTCTCCAGCAGCTACCCTGAGGGGATCAACGGCGGATACTATTCCGGGGGGCTGCCCGTTCAACAGGCGCATTCAACGACTCCTCACGATTCTGCACCCCCACCTCCTGGTGGGCATTCCGTCGTCGGCGGCGGTGGTGGTGGGGGTGGTGGCGGACCGAACTCCTCTGCAGGCGGTGCAGGCGCCGGGGGTCCGACAGGCCCTACGGGTCCAACGGTAGGTGGCGGTGGGGCTGGAGGCCCTGCTTCAGCTCCTCCTACTGCTGGATTAACCGGTATACCACACAGCATAGTGAGCGAGCCTGACCCCCGGCCAAGCCCACCTGCACCGAGCCCTCGTTGACCTTGAACCCCCGACGTCCACTCCAGCACCACCCTCCGATCTAATTTCCCTTAGCCATTCACACACGACCTCCGACGACAAATGGCCGATTGACTAACGTGTGTCGTGCACGATGTGCCCAAAAAAAAAAGAAAAAAAAATATGTCCGCTGCTTCCGAAGGAACTCGAGGGAATATCCATCCTTTGAGAAAGAGTGAAAGAGAGAACGGGGGGTAGGCAGGAAGAGAAAGAGAGAGAGAGAGAGAGAGAAAGAGAGCGCGAGATTGAGAGAGAGAAAGAGAGGGAGAGAGAAAGAGAAAGAAAAGGAGAGCGAGAGAAAACGTGAGATTGAGAGGGAGAGAAAGAGCTAGATTGTCCTGTGGGTTTTTACTGCGTGCGTGCAACGTGCACACGTGTGTGTTCCCGCGTGCGCACGTCAGTGTGCGTGCATGCCCCGTGTGTGTATCGTGCGCGAATGGAAGTTGAGCTTGAGTCTGCGTTTGGTGGGCTCCTGGAATAGTGCATTTGATGTAACATTGTGACCAAACCAAATACAGTTGGGCGGTAATGGTGACAGCTTAATATTGTAAGATGTCGTGGTTATGGAGGAAATAACAAACGGTGGGGTGAGAACTCTTTGTGTCGTAGTTTTATATAAATCACTTTATGTATTAGCCGCACGAGACATTAGAACAACGCGAACGGGAAGCGAACGAGATAATTTCATTCTTTCTGTTTTATTTTTCCTGTTGATGTCTGACGAAGCTTTCGTGTGATACAAAAGAAAAGAAAAAATTGGTGATTAGTTCCTCAAGCCCGTGATCAATTCTTCCTTCGAATATCAGCAGCATCGTGAAGTACATTGGCTAGTCATAGGGTACAAATCAAACATGGATGAACATCGCCGCAATGTCTGGCATACCGTGAAAAAGTGCGTGTCGATGCAAGTTTAGCTTAAATATCTCTGATGTGTAAAGTTTTTAGCAACGGTGTAAGCTTTCTTCCAATTGTTAGACTACGAGGTGTAGAGAATATTCCAGAATTTTTATTTTGTACTCGTATTAGTCCCATTTGTAACTTTACGCTACGATCAATTTTAGTACTCCATATACGTAAACCGAGAGAACAAATTTTATTTCAGTAACAAGTTCACGTCGTGTTCTACTTCGTGTTCTTTCCTTCTGAAACATGGAACCAACGTGTATGTTTTTTTTTCCTTTTTTTATAGCAAGTCATGCATTATTTAGCCACACTGTATTTGGGTTAGCGCATGCTATTTTAGTTTTTGTTTCTAAAAAGAACCATACTCCCAAGAGCATATATATATATGATTTGGCAACTCTTCAGAAAACGTTGACAAACTTTGTTTCTTTCGTGGACGTTGTAACTCTCAGTGTTGGTATATTATATTGAAGATGAAAAACTGAAATGTAGTTGCTGACAAATACATTTTTATGTTTTACTCGAGATCATGAAAATGCTGCGTACATCATGATGGAACCGTGATTGAAAAAAGAGAAGCAAAAGAATATGTCAGTAGTGTATCTTGTTTGTGGTAAAGTGGACAAAGATAACAGAAAAAACTTGTGAAGGAAAATGTATGTAATCGTTGGGGCATTCTCAAGCGTGGTACCTCACTGGGTGGTTGGTAGTGCCGAGTAGAACTTCATAAACGATTGAATACCTTCTTTGTCGTAATTTCTAAAGGTCGATATCAATGCAGTAGACGCATTTCGATTGCCTTACATATTCGTGTATAATTCAAGTAAGGTCTGTGTCATCGCGTACCAGTCGGTCAATGAACCGTACTAAGAAAACTTCAAAGGAAGAAGACAGCGTTCTCGGAAAAGGAAGGAAAACGTTACTGGTGGTTGTATAATTTAAACAATTTTTACCTATTCTTAGAAGAAAACCTTCTCCGTTGCGAAACTTCGTGTACTCTTGGCAAAGACATGTTTGAGTTAACAGAAATATAGTCTTTTATATTAGATAGTTTTTTTTTTTTAATTTCTTGAGAGTAATGACAGATAAAAGATATATTTCTGACATGTTCGACTATAATGTACACGTTTCTTTAATAACGACAATTTTTTCCTTCTTTGCGGGAATACTAATTCATCCTTAATGGTGTATTGGTATCGATTGAATCTTTATACGCGACTGTATAGTGAAACAAAGTTGCTTTAAATAAATTAGAGGAGTGTATCATCTTTGATTATCTGGCATCTATTTTCGTATTTCGTTCGAGTAAATACATTCGCGAATGCCTTAACGTTCCGTAAAAACGAATGCAGCATCTTCATCGGTGGTTGAAATTCGTAATAAAAATGTTAGGTAACCTAATGTAATAGGTATTTCCTTTGTGTTTCCGACGGAGACAGGAAGCCGCTTATTGTTTTTCAATGGGAAAAAAAGTATATATATATATACACACACCTATCGGTTGTAGCAGTCTTTTTAAGCGAGTGAGATTGTGAACGGAAGAAGAGAGTAAGAGGGAGAGCGAGAGAGAGAGAGAGAGAGAGAGATAGGAAGTAATCACGAGCGAAAGGTAGAACGAACAGAAACAAGTTTTATTAATTGATAATTATAATATGATTAATTATTGTATTAAGTAAAGTAATGCGATGTTACGAACACTTGAATATATTATCGAAAGATAAATCATTAAAAAAAAGAAAAAGTAAAGAAAATGGAAAATTTTTTGAGAAGAAATTATTGAAAAGCGACGGTTAATAATTAAATAAAAAAAAAAGAGAGAGAGAGAGAAAAGTATGAAAGATCTATTTTAGAGAGAGAGACGTACACACACACACATACACACATACGTACATACATACATTACACACGCTGACACACATATCTATTCGGTTCTTGTTTTGTATGATTTCATTGGTATAGTCACAGGTTACCGGAACACACGGCCATGGTCATGTATCTTTCTTTCGTACTTTAAATTGTATAATTTCAAATTCGACGAAGCCGGTCGTGAAGCGGTCGTAATGAAAACACACACACACACACACACACACACACACACACACACACACACACACACACACACACACACACACACACAGTGTATCCGTGTTGTGTTTTGTCGGAAGAATACGAATTGCGAGGAGTGATATGTATAGACAATTAATTTTCTATTCTCAGTGGTCGATATAATGCCAGATAAACAAAAAATGAAAAAAAGAGGAATAAGATAAAGAGAGGAAAGTGTTTCTCTTTGTTATTTAAAATTGTTCGGAAGAGAAGGGACAAAAAATAGACTGAATCGTTTTGGTATTCATCGATGCCTCTGGGATGTTACACCTTACACGTGCTTTTTTTGCTTCGAAAGCTTTCAAAGCGAATGAGAAATGAAAAACCATTCCAACTGATGTAGAGATCAGATTACCAACCAACACTTTGATCGATAATACGAGGCGATGTAGAGACGAGCGAGTGAACGAGCGTAAGAGAGGGAGAGAAAGATCGAGAACGAGAGAACGTGAGAGTGAGTGAGTGAGTGAGTGAGTGAGTGAGCGAGAGAGAGAGAGAAGAAAATGAAAAAAACATACATAAAGCATCACAGACACATACAGCGTGACAGAGATGACATTATACATTTTTAAATAGAATACGCTACGTACACAAAATACTAGAGGAACGTCTGTCGCGCGACGAGATGGTCCACGGAAGCTGCATGCTTGTTTAGTGGAAAACTCTGTAAAGAGCTGGTGGCCAGCTCGTCTTTGCGCACAGTCGCACCAGTACATAACGTAGAAACATTATACATACTTTTTTTTTTTTCAAGAATATTATTACTTATAAATACATCATTATATATAAAAGAGAGAAAGAGAGCGCGAGCGAGAGAATTTTGACGAGTGCAGAAGAGACACGCTACTCTAATGAAGAAGACAGAGTTGTTCTTATATAGTTTTAATTGTGAAAAAAAGAGGCAAAATTAATGTGAGGATTCGTGATGAACCAATATCTATCCACTTAATTACCAACTAGCCGGCGAACATGAAGCCTCCTTTTCCTCACCCCCTCTTCCCACAAGAAACACACACGTGTGGATGTCCTGATGCTGTGGAATTACAACAAAAAAAAATGAAAAGAAAACTCACATATTCATTCATCTGTTTTTAATCAGTTGTTCTCATACGAATATTATATATATTATATATTATATATATATAGAATATAGTATATATTCTATATATATTATATATATATAGAGAGAGAGAGAGAGAAAGAGAGAGAATCGTTTTTTTTTTATGAAAATGGCGCCAAAACACCTTCATTTTACAATTACAAAAAAAAGAAGAAGAAGAAGCAAACTGACAAAGAAAAGCCACATAATGAAAATTGAAGGTGGTAAAAACAGCAACATTAATATTATAATTAATAATAATTATAATAAATACAATATTTGTACAATAATCAACGGTGCTGTGGTAGATGCTGTAGGTTTAAAACTGCGATTCCCTGTTCACCTATCCTGACCTGCGTTTGGAATAGTAGATTCGTAGCGAATCAACGACCAATCATCGATCCGGGAAGTCCATGTTCCCTAAAGTACAACGGTGTCGACGTTTCAACATTTATTTCTCTCAATTTCGCTGTCACGATCGAGAGGACGAGTATAATGAATTCCACTACGAGTACAGCACATACTGCAATGTCGTTAATGATCTAATGTATCGTTTTAAAAAAATATTCAAATGTAAGCCCTTAATTAAGAGAAGCGCATCGCGCCGAATATCCTTCCTCGGGTTTCGAATCAGTTAGGTGGCGAACAATCCTACGAGCATCAACTGTCGCATTTGTTAGTTTATTTTACATTCTCTCCGGTAAACTCGGGCCAAGTTGAATCACAGGTATTCGACAACATCGTGGCAACAATCGATTGTTGTCGATAATAGACAGCGAGCTGTGTCACGTCAGAGAACCACCATGAACTCTCATATGCCTGTTCAGATTGCCGCTCTGACTGAACCTCAGCAGGCATAGCTTGCACTGGTATGGTTTTTCGCCAGAATGAATGCGCAGGTGTTTCGTTAACGTTGAACTGTCCGAGAAGGCTTTCTTGCAGAATCGACATCTGGAAAAAAAAGGTTTTCAGTTAAAAAGGTAAATCGTCACTTAGTAGGTAGTAAATTTCAGGGGTATTTCCCGCTTTAGAGCCTTAAATTTAAGCAACTTTTGAATTCTTTTTTTTTTTGTTTCCATTAAAACTAACGCCACTGAGACAAAATAATCTTCCATTATCTTTGTTGTGTATTGAATTGAGTCTATAATTTTCTTCGAGTGGATAACATTATAACGTGTAGGTATTTGTTATTGAATAATGGTAAGTTCACTTTCGTTCCACCTATCTAGAACCAAAATTTCGAGATAATTCTTTACACCTTTCGTTTGGAAAAGAACTAAAATTGTAACAAAATCTTTCAAGAGAAACTTTTCGGTGTAAGCTAATAGAAAATGTTGCATATTTGATAATGTATGTCAGCGATTAATGTGCTATTGTAAATTTGTACAGTAACTACTTTTTATGTAGTTTTTCTTTTGAACAATTTTGGGTTTTTTTTTAGTGTTTTAGGACAATATGTCTCCAATGGTAAAAATAATTGTCCATCCATTTTCGACTGCGTCGAGTTCTCTCTTTAATGGTTCATTCTTAGCGCCTGACTCGAGCGTGGCATTTTCGACAGTCAACTGTTTCGTTTGGCGGGAATTTATTTCATTACCGTGATAAGCTATATAATTTTGTGCACTTTCATAACGATACTTTAGTTCATAAACTGTAGGTAAGTTCTATCAAATGTCTTTTTCCTTTTCCTTAATCTATCGTTGATATGTATCTTGTATATTATTGAATGTATACGAGTAATGGGAGAAGAAAACGCAACACAATAAACAAAGTCAATTCAGTAGGTTTTACACATACCCTGGAAATTAATGCATTTTGTTTGTTTTATCTAAGATAAATGGCAGTAATTGTGTACATAAACAAATTGTATACAGAGTTGTAATTGTATATTATTCATCTATGATTTTTTAAAATGAATGTTATATCCTTGTTGCAATCACAATTCCATTAATGTACACCGATGGTGAATTTATTCTTAATTAATATTTAAATTTACGAATGTGAAGTGTGGTTCAAGTCGCTCGTGGTGTCATCTATGGCGAACTGCACAATCTACTACCCAATTACTACCATATTATTATCACTAGATGTCGCCACCAAGCCCTTTAGGTAGTCTGTTCTTTGAAACTGTAAACATCAGTCATTCCACAAGTTCGAAAATTTGTTAAAAATTCAAGAAATTCATTACTGGAAATCTATGAACATTTTCAAAATACCGAAATTTGGATTTGTAACAGTGTTACGTTTTCTTGTTGATAGTTTGTCAGCGAATGGCTCAAGTGGCACGAATTATTGTAGCAATGTGTACTTTTTTCCTATAATAGCTGCATAAATTCTATGAAAATGTTGAATTCTGACCGTTATTTATAAAACAATTCAAGTTACCGATTGGGTGAAACTCACCTGTATGGACGTTCTCCCGAATGCGTTCTCATATGCGTAGTTACGGAACTGCTCTGTGAAAATCTTCGATCACATACTGGACAACGGAACGGTTTTTCCCCAGAATGAGTTCTCGCATGGGCCGTAAGATTCGCCGCTTGACTAAATGCCTTTGAACACGCATGACATCTAAAACAGACAAATATTTATAAATGTTCCATATATGTATATCCAGAATTAAGATCACGGAAGATGATTAAATGTCGTCAGTAAACTGAATTTAAATTTGAATTCGTACAAATTCGCGGTTAATAGATTTCTTTCGATGTACGTTTCGATATATTTATCGATTTGTCGAGCGCTAACGATTCTCGCAGACTGAGAACCGTTAAGTTCAAAGGAACGGTTTGTCTTCGCACGGAGTGTTGTGTTTAGTTGTAGTGCAATTATTAGTAGTTAATAGTGGTAATATCAAAGACTGTGTCCATTGTTAATTAGATGTTCGAAAAGGCAACAAATAACAGGTAAGATAACATATCTATTTCTGTTTCGTGTACACGTTGAGTGTCGTAATATGCGAAGTACAAAAATGGTTAGGATCGATGAGAAAGTTTGATAAATTGAATACATATGGTGAATCAAACTGAAATTTATCCGTCTCACAAGATTGCAAATGCATATTAAGCGATGTTTCATTGATGAGTGGTTTCGTGGTCACAGAAATTAGTCACTTAAACTCGCAGAAGAAACTAAGTCGAATTTTCATATTATTCTGTTGTCAGTTTTGATTCTCCTTAAGTAATTTCCGTCGAAACAGACAGTTTCTCCTAAAAGATTCTTCAATATTCACGGGTTCTTTCAATATCTACTTGAGCTGTGTGTCTACAGCTCATTTCATTGTGATACCTCAATTTATCAATTATCGTTGAATTTTTTCGAAATTCTTTTACAACACCAACAGGAGCAAGTACGAAACATAACGTGAAATAAAGAAAAAACTAAGGTTAGCTTGCTTTTTTAACGGAAAAAGAGAATTTGTTGGGAATGTTAATTACTGCGATATGCATAGCCACTTAAAAACTAATTGATTCTATGTATATATATACATACATACATACATACATACATACATACATACATATATAGTATAAATACTATTATATAATCACTTTTTCCTCTAAAGCGATTATAAGTAGCTCAGAATTTTCGCGAATACAGTTAAAATTCGAACTTCCTGTATGATTCATCGAGTAAAACAGATCGAACCCACAAGGGTAAGTAATCTAAAGTTTGTTTGATATTGCTATTCGTCTAATCTTATCGTTACTACAGTTCGTGATCGACCCGATCGTCGGCGGCTTTCATCGGCCCATACTCCGACGGTTAAAAGTGGCGTGTTCGTTTCTAGCGGGCCATCCTGCATGTGAAAAGTACTCTATGCAAGAGGAACCCTGCGAAAAAGATTTTCCCCGTTTTAGTTCCCAAGTGGTCTGTAGGAATGACGATCCCCAGCCATCGATCGAACATGTGTCTCCCCACCAGCGATAGAATTGTACTACCCCCGTCACTAACCTAAACGGTTTCTCCCCAGAATGCGTCCGGAGATGTGTCTTCAGGGTGCTGGGCCGGGCATACGATTTCCCGCAGATCCTGCACAAATTCGGTCTGCCATTGTCGTCGTTCGCGACCGGGTTCCCGGAGGCGCCTATGCATAGCGCATGCTCGCCGGACAATTGCAACCTGGAATGGCCGTGCGCCGGGGGATGAGAATGAGGATGGGTGCCGGTGCCGATCAGGCTATTGGCCGGGGGTTGATTCACCCTCGTCTGTTGCTCGACGGGATTATACTGCTGGGCGGGACTTAGCAGGGGCTCCACGCCCCACGCCGACGAATAGCTCTGCTCGTACCTGCACGCACACCGAGAAAGAGAAAGAGAGAGAGAGAGACATGTCAAGCCGTGAATAACTCTGCTCCCTGCCCCCAACCCTTAGACGAGGGTGCGCGTCCACCCAACCCCCGTACACCGTGGAAAATGGCGAATCTTTACCTCGCTCGTCGGTACTTGCCCAAGTTATTCTGTAATTCAATACACTGGCGAGCGCAATTACTGATCTGTACGCGTGGAATGGCTCTGTAGCTTTTAGGTAAATACGTGAGATGTTTACGCAAACCCGGGGTTTCGAAGGTATCCGGTCGGACGTATGAAACTGCAGGGATATAGACTACTGTCACATAAGTATTTGCTTTCGCTACAACTAATTTGTCATGTTACTGAAATCTCTATCAAATTTTCCAGAAGGGCTACGTCCCTTTATAGCTAGGGTCATAAGGTTATACTAGATTCTGATTAACAGCCTGTATAGCGCTTACGTACTGAGATATAGAGGAGGTATTCTTTTAAAACTGTATCAATGACTGGCAATTCCGGCCCAGCGAAAGGCTGATAATTCGTTCGTTTCAGAAGGAAAGTCAATCTCCGTTCCTCTCCGATCACCGATCAGAATTTTCAGGGGCTTGAAGTACCTACAAGGGGCTCGTACTCACCCGGAGTGCATGTTCATGTTCATCGTCATGTTCATGGAGACGTTCACCGACATGGCCGGAGTGGACGCGTAGTGTGTGGGCGGCATCGGCGGACCGAGGTTTTGCGTGTAATCCTGCGTGTAATGATGACCGGATCCGCCGGTCGAGTAGTATCCGCCCGTGGGACTCCCCGGATGGACCACCGCGTGTTTCAGCGACAGCAGCACGTCCGCGACGCCCTCGCCGGTCCCGTTGCCCGTCCTCGGCGCGCATTCTCCTCTGGTACACCCCCAACTGTAAGAACACTTGGAAATTACACGGTACAATGGTGCACGACAGTCGTTTCTAAACCACCCTCGTCTTGTCTAGGGGACTGCTCTTCCGTATCGGTATTATTCGGTCGACCTGTTAACCAGTACAGATTTTAAAAGGATACGTGTTCCCTGGCTGTGCGGCGACAGACGACGAATGACGAGTTAACTCAGAGGTTTTAATGATTTTCACGGTCCGTACATCATACAGTTCTTACTGTCGAGACTTTTGGGTGTAAGCCGTGTCTTTGTGGAATTGTTTTCTCAACGTTTCCTAAGCATTGCAGGGGGTCGAAAGACATACTGACACTGAGTACAGTAGTAGTGGGAAAACAATTCCACATAGCCACGGCGTACACCCGAAAGCCTGAACAGTAAGAACTGTACGAGTTCACTCGTCCATCTCACAGCAGATTCTAGTCAGGGCTATTGATTTGACCCGGGTATTTCAGATAATGGGGAATTTCGGTAGCTGATTGTCTACTAATGGGTCTTTTCGTAGATAATAGGAATGTTTCTTTGATTCTGGTTACTGCAAAGTGGACCATCAAAATGCAGGGAATTGTATAAACTCCGACAGCCTGATTAGTACAGATATTAAACAGTGCTCGCATAAACTTTCTTCGTCGCGATAGCGTTGGGAGTTCAAGTAGAAGTATCAAGCGTTGGTCAGGCGGAAGCGCTCGTGTTTCAGAATGTTGGATTTCGTTACTTGTATACACATGGAATATTCTTAAAACGAATCATTAGAATTCGTTATCGAATTCTTTTAATATCACATAATCGATGTCTTGCATAATTTTCAAGACCACGTGCTTTCAAAATCGGTAGACATAAGAATCAAATTTTCGAAAGGTCAATACCGACTCTTCTTGAATCGATATCAATCCAATACGGCATCGAATCGGAACCCGTTTGATACCTCACGATACCGCAACGTGTTTATTCGAATCGCCGAAGAACGAGCGGCGACAGCATACATTCTTGACGGTCCCATGTTTTTCAACGCTCGGTTCTCGACGCTCGCTGGCTCGAATAAACGCGCTGCCGAAGAATATTGATATTTCTAGTAGGTATCAAATAGGTATCGATTCTTTTCGATACCTAGGTCTTTGATATGTAAGAATAAGGAAACTTGGAGAAAAAGTATTAATAATATCGATACGGTATCAGTTGCATCACCAGTTATCCCCCTAAATCGACAAGAAATGGCATTAACTCACTTGTAAGTCCCCGAACAGGGACTGAAGAGACCAGGCGGCAGCGGGTCCAAGTCGAGGGGCGGCAACGGGAAGCCGGCCATGTCGTCGACCCAGAAGCTCGCACCGAACTCGCTGACGACCTGGTTCTGACCGGAACTCTGGATCTGTTGGCTCTGATCGGCGCCGCCTATGTCATCCGGCGAGTTCTGCAGGTCCTGGAGCCGGAGGGTTCCCTGCAGAGCGCCCAGGGCCTCCTCGTTCTGATTGTCCGTTAGACCGTCCTCGCCGGACAACACCCCGAGGGATCCTGTACAGAGGCCGGAAGGTATCGTCGCCTCGATACTTCCTACCGAACCTAGGAATAACCGGATACCGTTAAGGTATCGGTACTTTTACTCATAACTTGTGTCGAAAAATAGTATCTAATGTCATGAAGTACTGTTTTATCTTTCATTCGTTATTCGAAACTGTTTATCTGAATAATGAATTTGCCCATCTCTGATTTTAACGAAGATAATATAACTGGACGACAACCATCTTCACCAGTTTTTCTTATCATATCTTCTTTGCATTCTTTAACAAAATTTCCGAAGTATCAAGTTTTTTTCCGGGCCGTTAAAGGGGAAAGGTGCCTTAATTTATAAGTTTTAGCGGAACTTCCTCAGTCGTCAATGTGTTAACTGTAATTGGTAGGACGAAACGATTGCGAGGGAAAGTATGGACGGGCAATGGTGATTTTTTTTAGTATTCTTAGCTGATATACGTGTAAGATTCTCGGGTTCCTATGGCTGAATCATCGCCGATAGAAATCCTAATTAGTGTTTTCTAACTTTACTATTGATTGAATATGTGAAACTTATTGTACGTATGGGTTGGATGATCAGTTTTCCAAATAGCACCAATATTGTAAAGCGTCTTCCCTATCCAAATGTCCTCCCAACAGTTTCGAATCACTCGATGAATCAGAGAATACCGATATACTCACTTGTACAAGCAATGAGAAAACAATTTCATTTGTAAAAGAACTCAATTATTAACTTTCTTCAAAGAATACATCTATAGGGATGTATCACGACACCTCTCAAATACAAAGTAAACCATTCAAGAATCCATATCAGATGCTAGAAACATATTCAACAACTGGTCACGCAAATACCTACAACGACAATAACAGTGTCGGGAAAATGCATATAATCCCTATGAATCCCTACGTTCAGAATAGGTGGTCCTGCTACTTACAGACGGTAGACGATTCCTCGAAGAATCACCAAGCGATTCCAAACCCCGAACCTTCGAAAATTTCCACATAAACAGACAAACTTGCAAAAACAAAAATTGCATTTCAGAACGAAAAAGCAAAAATCACATAGATCACCTACTTTGTCACTCGACGACCGTTTCATCCTTTTATCAATATCGCGACGAACTCGCGACATGGATTCCGAATGTTTGTACCATTTTCCTGGCATATCGATGTTTAATCTTTCGACGGAAACGTGCACTCACAAAATCTCTTCTTCCATCGTTCGATTCTTACGAATAGATACGACACCAACGCGATAGAGAAGGGACAATTAGTGGCAAGGGACTGTATCTGATTTTTTTTCCAGCGCGACGTGTCTGTTTGCTCACCTGTGCCGAGGGTGTACGGCGACTCGGCGGTGTTCACCGTGTGATGATTCTGCAGGAACTCCATCTCTGCGAAATTTCAAGCCCGTGGCCGCCCTTAGAAACACCCCCTTCACCCCGCCTCCGTGGTGAAACACGCGAACGGGATATCCTCCTCTCGTCGGAGACGCGGTCCAGCCCCTCCGGTCGCCCTGGCAACCGCACATCGCTCGGTGAGTACCACCGAAAAACTTTCTTCTTCGTCAATAGACGACCGCCGTACTACGATATGTATTTTCGAATCGACCGCCGGACGATTCGGGGTGCTTTGAAACAGCACAAACCCTCGTCAAAAAATTCGCGAGATCTGCCAGCAACGGTTCAAGGTGACGACACCGCCTGAATTGTGAAAACGGTTAGTGGAGATCCGTCGCCACCGTGGGCGGGGTCCCGTTTCGCGAATCGAACGATGTTCCTCGAATGGACATCTTCGAGAAGTTTACCAACATGTCTAGTTTCGGTTTTAGTGAAAATTTTACAGGGGATCGGATAATACGGTGGCCTTTTAGCTACTACGCGAAGCCGCACAGTGGTGAGAAATCGTGAAACATTTATCCACCGGAAACTTTTTTGAATTGGGTTTTTTTTTTAGAAATTGTATGAACTGATTCAAAGTTGTTTTTCCGTTCTAACGTTTTGAATAAGCAGGTGAGCAGTGTTTTTCATTGAAATAAAGAAAGATGAAATGCGCATTTTTTTTTCTCACTTCGAATTGTTTTGAAATTTTATGCAATGAATGCTGTTCCGAAGATCATTTCTGTGCACATTTTAACATCCACGCGTTTTATTCGCGTGCATTCGATCAGACTGAAAAAGGCAATGAACTTGACACGATTTAACGAATTTGATTTCTTACGTTTATCATTTTACTTTTTACGGCAATGCAGATTTTTTTTTTCAATTTTGTTTACCGTATCAACGATTTTCTCAATATCTGGATAAAACTGCAAAATCGTTATGTGTTAATTAAAGTTTTCGCGCGCTCGATTGTTAAGCCCTTGTCCCGAGCGCATTGAATTAATCAGGCGAATAAACGACACAGGCGTACCGAGTTGGAATTCGAATTTTTTGACGTGGGTTTTCGTCACGAATGTACGGACAATTATTATAGTCTACAGAACGATAGAAGACACTTTTTGGAACGTCTGACAATACAATCCCAATTGTGAATTCCTTTTTACAATCGTCACTGTCAGAAATGGTTCCGAATGGTACGGCCATGGAATTTCCGTGAGAAAAATATTCGTAAAGAAACTTTCACAGACATTTAAAACCGAAACTTTCGATTTCAGTTCAGTTATTGCAGAATTAATACGGCGAAAGTATTAAATTCCTTATCTAACTATTTTACCGAGTCGCCAAAATCGTTTCAATCTCTCGAGCAACGTTTCCAACAGCATCGTTTACTGTAATGCACAACAATTACAATCCCCAATACATAATCGATGCACCATTTTCATAAAACATAATTACCGAAAATCCCCGCGAAGTCGACGATAAAATCTACAATAACCGTCTGGTCGTCGATCGTTCCCGCGTGAATGACGAAAATAATCAAGCGGATCTCCATGAATGACTCTCGTGAATGACTGAAAGGAAAATGCACGTGGCATATGGACCGAGCGTATGGAAGTACCTTTATGGCTTGGAAGACCTGCCCGGTTTCCTCTAAAGGCTTCTGCAGAAAATCTGCCAGATATTTTCATTCATAGCCCGCGAAACCATGTGCACATCTTCCACGTGATACCGTTCCTCTGCTGGACCTGGCGAAAAAATCATCTAAGAATCTCGGTGTCACCTTTATCCCCTAAACGATCACTTCCCGAACGAACGATCTGGCTGCCTGTGGTTCAACGGACTGTCAAACAAACTTTAAAATCCAACCGTACAGTACATCGAACTGACAAGCTTTTTCGAACCGACACTCTATCGCAATAACTATTCCCATTTGGTCTACACTATCCGGAAGAGGATCCGGATACACACAGTCTTCATTGGTCCCGCGGGTACTTCTTCCTGTTCTTGTACAGACTCCGTATCCTCTTCTGGGACATTTCTGAACGTTCCTTTCCCTCGGTCTCAGCCGAACGCATCCTCGATCCAGTGTCGTTACATCCCCCGATCGTGAAACGTTCGACAAAGCACTAAAACCACAGAGTTAGTTATCCCAATATCGACTCCCACCGTGAGGGAAACTTCGATCGCACTTGAATCCTATTGTCGAATTATAATATCTGCCCGGTGACGATAATAGTCCCCGTTTGCTTGGAAGTCCTCGATTGATATACCGTTTAAACACCGACGACAACGTGAAGAGCCCTCAAGGGACACTGTCGCGTGCTGCTGCTGCTGCTGCCCATGCTGGCAAGATACCCTGTCAATGTGTCTTGGCTAACTAAAGATCTACCACCTACTATCACCCACTCTCTCACCCCTTACACACCGACTACGGTGTGTGCCGTTCGACCCCACTCCACCGTAGGCCGGCCTCTTCTCTTCTTCGTTCTTCTCCCGCTTTCTGTCTCTCCCTCGTCTGCCTTCGTTCCCCCCACGTGTGCCATCCTCTTCTTTCCACGCGTGTACCCCTACCCCCGGGCCTTCCTGCATGCGGCACAGGGTACACACAGATTCGCTAACTTTGTTCGTTTTTTTTTTTTGTTTTCATCGTTTCCAAGTCTTTCGTAGATCGACGTGCTTCGTGCACTTTGGTGTGTGCACCCCCGATTCATCCGAAGTGTACACCGTTCCATTCGTCGTTCTTCTTTGGAAGCTGGTGTACAAGACATTTTACTTCACATTCCTTTCGAACGAAATCTGTTTGAGTTGAAATTCCCCGCGTGACAGCAACATGGGCGTAGCCAGGGGAAAAAAGTGGCTTTTGCCGCCGCCCTCCCCTCCCTTCCCAGAGTTACAACATTTTTGCGTAATATTTAATATTATAGTATAATTCGAAACACGACCAACAGCCTCTATTTAAAAAACGTATACGTTTTCAACGATTTATGACTTTGAAAACAATATAAAGTGTGTCTGGCTACGTACAGCCTTCTTCGCTGTGGCAGTCGACGTGTTAATATTTTTGCCCCCTCCCACCTCCTGACTGATAACCTGGCTACGCCCATGGACAGCAACAGAAAGAAGGATGATAGACGCATTCAAGAGTCTTTGGTTCGGTGGTCTACTGATACTTCCAATGGATACAATAGAGGTGAAACATTACAATGGAACTTAGTGTTCTTCGACAAACAATAAAAAATTACCGATCTATCCCCAGTTACAACTTAACGAAAACGTTTACTCGATGTCAGCAAAACAAGCTCATTTGCATCTCCACTTTTATTTTTCAAGGCAAACCTATGATGTCGTCTCGTTCGTCGAAAGGATCGCATTTCTTCCGGTGAATAGGGGTCAGGCCAACGACTGTTGGTTCTTAGTGGACAGTTTCCTCTTACCACGGCCGAAAAGGGAAGTCGAGGAGATCTCACGAGGAAACGGTCCTCGGGGGTAGGCGAGAGAGGGACGTCGACGGAACGGTCCCCGGCGATACAATATCCATGTCCACGAGCGTGTAAAGCGTATAGACGCGTCTTGATGTACACGGGGTCGGCCGACGTCGATGCCGACGACACGGGATACTAATCGTTCATTCGGCGATCGGTGATCGGGGGCCGTCGCGGCGCAACGGCCCTGTCTCTCTCTCTCCCTTTCCCCGCTCGTGTGTACGTGGTGCGCCGGGGGACCAGAGGGGGAAGTAGGATATTATATTCTTCAGATACCATTACCACGCCGATCACGGTGGTCCTGCCTCGCAGACGAGCCGTCCCGATACCCTCGAGATCACTGGCTTGTAATGCCTTCCCTTTCGTGGATTATTGACCAGTGAACGGTGAGCCCGGCTACGAGAGGGACCCTGAATGCCCGCCGCTACCTATTTCGAACATACCCCGGCGATCGTCGCCACCCCTCGTCGACCGTTGGGTCCTCACCTTTGCGGAGATCTTCTCCCGAGCACACCTCGTGCCCCTACGCGACGTCCAATTGACGGAGTCAGCCAAACCTGCAAAGCAAGCATTTTGTCCAATGGCTGTTATAAAGTAATCGGTACTAGTTTCGATGCAAGATTTTGCTATAAACAACTCGCGTGCAGTAAAATAGGCAGCAGATTGCCAAAAACATTTCGCAAACCTTGGTTCCGGTTTTATCCTCGATTTGACATACAGCGTGGGACAAAAGTATTCGTACACTCTTTAATAATTTTCTCCTCCACCAAATCCAAGTAAAATGCGCAAACAGATTTATGCAAGTGATTATGTACTTACCATTTTGGATATAACCGTGATTTAACGAATGAATTTCTTGAAAAACTTATTGCAATATGTTTCACGAATATCCTCGGCCGAGACACTGCGTTGTTTTCTACGCCATATGCGGATAATGCAAATGAACTACAGTTAGTTTCGAAACAACAGACTGCCGCTGCGACGTTCAAGACTTCTCTGTAACGGAGATAGACTTGGCTCTCGTATTAGGCTACTTTACCCTAACCGATCTTAATCTCCAGATCCACCCTCTCACCCGTTCCATCCGCCGACGGGGTCCGGTTTTCTTCGGGGTCCTGCATAAATACCGTGTGCCCAATCGGCTGGAAGTGTAAGCTAATACCCAGGGTGTACACTCGGCGTGCTGCGAGCTCTGCTCTCTTCTATACGACCCCTTCTCCCCTTCTCGTCTTTACACCCTGTCTCCTTTTTCTCTCAGTGTCTCTCTTTTCAGCTTTACACCCGTATTCCCTCGATCTTTCTCTCTCACCCTTCCAATGGCTGTAGTAGTGTTTCTCTTTTCATATTCTTATATTGGTCATCTATCTGTTTCTTTATGAAACTTTCGATGTCTCCCTTTTTATCTGTCCACCCTATTCCCTGGCTCTTACCTTCTCAGTGACTGTACGAGTGCTTCTCTTTTTAATTTTTGTAACCTGTTCGTATACTATTTCACCCTCTCATACTGTCGATGATTCTATCGGTGGTTTTATTTTCATTTTCATTTTTACCTTGTTTCTATACTCTTCTTTTCGGTGTTTTTATTCTTCTTACACCTTGAACAGAGTGTATCCCCATTTTTCTAATTTCTCTTCGGTTACTGCCTTTTCCCTTTCGACCCAATATCGATGGAAAATGTATACGTAGGTGAACACGATCCCTGGTATTCCGTCGCTGGACGCGACGTTGTACGAGTAGGTGACACACGGTCGACGGCAGTTGAACGGTGCCCGTGCGGTCGACTTCCTCTTCCTGTGTCCACATCGGAACCACGTAGTCAGGTGTCCGGCCTGACGGCCGCGATTACGCCGATATTCGATAGTCGGATACGGGCCCGGGTTCGTGAGAGGCGACGCTTTTGTCCAGGAGGTTTGCATCGAACAGGGCGAAAAAAAAAGACACGAACAATACGTTGACCGTTTCTGTCCAGCGTTTCCTCTTTTCCGTTACGGAAGTCCGAGTTTTTAACTCTTTCTGGGAATCCTGCCGGCACAGCGGTGGCTGGGTCTCTCTGGATCTAGATCGATCTATCCTCAGTTGTGTTTTCGACCGAATTGCCTCCAAATATGCTGGTCTCGTACAATACTAATCCGAGTAACTGTACGCCTCAGTTGGTTTCACTAGACTGAAATTCTGGGTCGAGATAGACCCAGACACCGCCGTCGGATAGGGTTGGATAATAATTTTTTGTTACCCGCTGTTTGCACGTGTTGCCGTTCGCGTTTATTTGCATCCACACGATGGATCAGAAATCTTCTCGTTGAGTCTCGGGGCAGATAGCCTATGCGACGACCAGCTTCACCCTCCCGAAGCCACACCTGTGTTTGCTCGCACCTGAAATCAAAGAGGCGATTACATCGTTGCAAACACGCAACACACGCCTACGTTCGTCTTGATCACGTGTGCACGTTAGGTGACCATGTTGCACCGATGATGACCGGTCACCCGGTAAATACCTCTTCCTTAAATACTTTCGGCAAACATCCTCTCGTTACAGAGCCGATTCAGGAATAAGACCAGAAATTCGGTAAATCATCGATCTACCACTCAATTGTTAGTGCACCATTGAATTAGTGGTGCAAAATTAAGTTACACCAATCGAAAAATTGTAACTTTTTTTCTCGATTTTCTAACATTCATTAGTCGTATCTTACAGATTTTTGTGCCTTGAATACGAATCCGCAAACGGGTTTTCAACTTAAGAAAGAAACGGGTTACTTTCGGAGGACCAATAACATTTTTGCTAAGGAAAAAGTTTTTTCAAATCATCCCAGGAACCTCTCATTTTCGGGAGTCGAAGCTATTTTGGGACACCCTGTATTTCTATGTCTATCGCTCGAAATCACGCGTTGGGGCACAGGGGGGATGCGTTCATCGTCGTTGCTCCGAGTTGACTGATTAACCGTCGCGACGGGATGACAGTGACGGCATTGTCCGCGATCAAAAGTTCATCCCGGCGGCGGGACTCGTCGCTCGAGCGATCATACGTCGGATAATCTTCGGCGGTTAGATAAAATCCCCCCCCCACTTTATACCACGGAGATGTTACCAAATACGTCATGGCCACTTAATTACGTTTGCGGCGTACCACCTCTTGCGGCGGGAGGTGGGGGTAGGGGTGGCGGCAAGGCCGACTGTTCCAGGCTCCGTGTAATTGTAACACGGCCGCTCCCAGCACCCTTGCGGTTTTCCAATTCGTGCGTCACCGGAAAGCTCTCTTTGCTACTCTCCGTCGACTAAAAATTATTCGTTCTTCTAGATTGTAGTGATGTTCGTTCGATTCGAATTTTTCACACAATTTGGCGGCCGTGATCGTCCCTGATTCATGAACTAAGATATTTTCGTGACGTTTAAGGTGTCACCCACGAATTTTTAATAATTACAAAATTTCGTTGAACATTTAACAGAACATTCTTGAAAATAAACGTGACATTTAGGTGTTCGGTCTTAGCTGAGACACCCTCTATATCACAATATAATTTTGCTACGAAAGTATCTTTAATTAGTTTGTTTTATGGTGGTTCACGCAAAATGTTAACAGTTGTAAATTTAGTTGAAAATGTAACAGAAATTCACTTTTGCCTAGTGAAAACGCGTTTTCAGACCACTGTGCTCTGGTAAGGGGAAAGAAAATGGCGGCAACCGTAGCTCGGCTGCCGCCACATTCGGGGTCCGCCACGTGGAGATTTGCAAACGCGGTGACCGGCTCGTCTCGCCAATCCCATCGGATGACAAGATAACGATCGTATAGCGAGCTATTATGTTCTTTATTCCGCGGATCTTGGCTGCGTGGCGGGAACGGTGGCGGCCGGCTGGCACGCGCCGCGTGTAATTCAATCGGCTGTTTCTCGACGAGCAGGACGTAGAGGTGGAGGAGGAAGAAGGGCGTACGTGCGAGTGTATGTGTGAGTGTGTGTGAACGAGGTTTTAATCCCCAGGGAACTGTTACGAGCCGGCTCTCCGCTAATCATCCCGACGATTCTTACCTTATTTTCTTAGCCGGCTATTCGAACAGATGCGGCGACGGCGGACAGCGACCGTTTCCTTCAACCCCTTTCCTCGAGACAGTGAAACTCGATACGTTCACGAAGACGTTCCGCGAAACGGGTCGTTGGTTGCGAACCCACTTCAGTCAGGAATAACAACGGTAGTTGTGTGGGAGGGGAGGGTGTTCTCGATTTCGAATAAACAGTCACGCGAAAAGGGTTGTCAGTCCCGAGTTGGGCAGAATTTTTTATTCGAATCATTGCATAGGGTAGATGTCCCAATTACTGCCACCTTAAGGGGGGAGCTTGGTGTGAACAGCTAATAATGAACATATTTTTGGGGATTTCTTGGGATGAATGTATTAAATCAATCTGTTTGATAGTTTTCTTAAAAACTTTAATCTTGCTAATAATTTCATCTTAATCCAGTATATGTTCGAATTTATTCCAAGAAGCCCTTGGTCTTAATACCGAAACAAATTCGTGCAAAATACATTATAGGCTATAATTTAATGTGCAACTAGTAATGTGCATTGTTAGCATTTTTCATTTATAAAAGTGTCACCATACATGTCATTCGGTGAAAACGACACACATACTTCAGTGAAAAATTTTGATCAAAATTTGTTAAATTGAATCTACGAGTACAATGAGGCCCAGAATGAACACTTCTTAGGCATCAGAATATCAACATTTCTGATATGATGCAATAGTTTCTCCGACCAATTTTTATGGCAGAGTTTCGATAACAAATTTTTTATTCATACTGTTAAATCGTAAGAGTGATGAAGAGGCGAGTGCTAGGAAAAGAAAGGCGCGTCTAATTGCGCCAACGTTCTGGAATTGCTTTAAAGCATTAACTCGAACGTTGCAGAGAGAGGTATACAACCCCCCAAGATGGCTGCTCCCGGGCGTATCGACGTTTAGCGTTTGCAGGGTTTCCCAGAGGTAAGCTCATCGGAAATTGTGGGTCTTCCCTCCCCTGGCATCGCCCCCGCCGCTTTTGCTGGCCCTTCAAAACAAAGAAACACACGTAATTAAATTTTTGTCCGGGCACAAATTAATGTGCCCCGCCGTGGTGGTACCACTGACCGCAGCTGCACAGCCGCCAAAGAAAGTTTAATCCACGGACCGGGTTTTAATCGAGCCACCTCTCTCGTCCCCTTGTCGCCTCTCCCCTTCTTCCCGATTTCTTTCCATCGTTTCACTCTTTCGGCAGTTACAGTAAATTGAAGTAATTCCCCTTTCTCTTCTGCAGAAAATAAAAATTTTCATTTCCGTTAGTGTTTCTCTTAGCTCCTCATTTAGCAGGTTTGGTTTGATTTGTTGACATCCCAGCTTCATTGACTATTTAGGCTTGTTTTTGTCAGTTATGAGAAGGAAAACGCAGCTCTTGGAGAAAAAGGAAGTGTGCTCTTTGGAATGGTTTGATGAGCATCAATTATATTGATCTTGATAATCTCAAGTTGTCAATAAGAAAAGAATTTCACTGATTGGTTGGAACTGAAGTTTGTAAGGTAACAAGTAAGCGCGAGGTAAATGTATTGGACTTTCTTACTTGTTTTTCTAATCTTGTACATATAAGAAATTGTTCTAAGAATGTACATGAAGTGACATTTAGAAACATTCTGTTAATTATACATAATTACTTTTTTTCCTTTTTCAATTAGATGTAATTTATGTTTTAATGAAATATAACTTTATTTTCCCGTTTCCTAGCTAAATTTTTTATATGTGAAATTATGTCATATGTACAATGAATAGATAGTAATGCTCTTTACAAAGAAGTCTATTATTAGATGCAAATGTTAAACAAGAATGTCTTAGATAATGCACAAATATGCCTTTATGTTATACCTTATACAACATGTTACATTGTCATACTCATATTAAGAGTTTAAGTTGTAAAATTTGCAATTGAAAATGATGTTCAGCAATTGCAATCATTCGTGTTGTATTTTAACTGAAATGTTTATGTATTTTTCAAAGTGCTAACTAGAATAAACTCGTTTTCATAATTATTTTATTTCTATACTAGTATAGCATACTAAAATTTTTTCAGGAAGGTTCAATTATTTATCGCATTTTTTTAAAAATACCTTTTACCAATTGGAGGGAAAACAATCGCGCGTAAATATAAAATATTTTCAAATAATTTTTATTCTATATCATTAAATAGCATGTGTTCCTCATATAAAAATAGAGTATATAATTAGAAATTGCTGTAAACCTCTGTACAAAATACGTTTGCGGGAAATTATTTACAATTGTGTAGCTTTCTACATGAATTTACTAAAATATCTTCAAATGCCTCGTCTAATAATCTTCAACTAATCCCAACTCTTGATTCCTCCGGATGTATGTCACGTAGTTCCTGCAAGCATAATATAATGACAAAATATGTTAGAAATACTTTCATCGAAATCGACTTTAACACGCTCGCAATTTTCAAGGATCATCTGTGCCCTTGAAGCTGTACATGGTTTGTGGGTTACCAAAATCATCAAAACCCAACGATTCCAATACTTCACAGGGACCACGATTGATCTTCCGAACCGCGAACGTGTTGATGAAACAGAAACTAATCCCCGAACATACGTGTAATATTTGATAGTGGTTCCCTTTCACTTCACGTTGTTCATTCTGCTCGTGAGCTTGATTTACTAAAAGTGTTGCAGTCTTCGTGTCCAACGGGCCAAAAGCCCAACCTCCTTCTCCGTCGAAGCGTAACAACAGTTTGTGGTATTTCGCAAGGGAAGCCACGCGATGAGTAATAGTTAGTAACGTGATGCCTTTCTTTTTGGCAGTCTCGTATATGACTCCCTCAGCCTCGAGGCTCACAGCACTGGTGCACTCATCCAACAGCGCGTACTGCGGCGCATGGTAGAATAATCTGGTCATAGCTAGCCTCTGTTTCTCACCACCGGACAGAGTAGAATCCCAATCACCTAAAGTGTCCAGCCCTTCGGATTCTCTCTCTGCCAGACCTCGTAGATCGACGTCTTCCAACAGTTTCAGGAGTTCTTCGTCGGAACAGTCTTCTGTTTGCGATTCAGCTGGATAGATGATCTGGTCCCGCAAACAACCGACCGTCATGTAAGGTTTCTGCGGAATATAAAACAATGCGGGCCTCCCGCTGTAATTCTCAGGTGGTCTTATCAAGGTACCGCCATACACTGGCCACAGGCCAGAGATTATGCGAAACAGAGAACTTTTACCGCATCCGTTGGGACCAGTGATCAATATATGATCACCAGGTTTTATCTATGAGAAAAATTCTCATCAGTATACATACAATAATATCTTGTTCAGTGTGTAGAAGTTTCGTGGGAACTTTGTTTGGTACTTACGTGAATTGACAACCTAGGCACAATAACTTCGCAATTTGGTGTTACTATTGGCACATCGATTAAGCTTATACTGCCGTCTGTACTCTCCTGTACGATTCCTGTCGAGATTATTATTCATATATCACTATTTCATGAATTGCTTTGCATTTAGCCGAGGTTTACCTTTAATCACTGCTGCACCATCCTTTAATTCGATTATTTTCTCTAAGGCATTATTCGCATTACCGTTTGCTATTCTCGTAGGACTATTAACAATGTTTCTTCTATATTTACACAGAGCAGCATCTTTGAATACGTCGAACATCTCGCTTACTCGTGCTGCATACCCTGCTAGTGCTACTAATTCCTATAATACGACGGATTAATTTAATTATGACCACAATTCTCTCAAGACGAGTTTAAAAAGTCTCTTACTTTATAAGATGACATGAGTCTTTCTACAGCATCTGCCCCAGAACTTAAGAGATTTTTCGACGTTGTCAAGTATCTAGTCCTCTCACTTACTCCACCTGTGTGTTTTTTTTTTAAACAAGTTATATTAGACATTTTACTTTGTAGTATCGCAAACTACTTTTATACTAACGTATACACACCATCACCATCATCGGTTAGAGATGAAGTTCTGGAAGTGACCGTAGTGTAAAGTAGAGGCATGGCAATGACAAGGAGTCCAGTGCCGGACCACACATACTTCATAAGCAACTGTTCCAGCATCACGTACCACAGTTTCAGTGCTAGTACTCTTCTTAAATGCGAAACAAGAGACTTATATGCGGTGGACAAATAACGATGCTCTGTACAATGTCCACCGTAGAATGCAATTTCCTCTGCATGGGCACTAATACGAGCATGAGCCTCTCTTAATCTCCCACGCCGTGATGCCTCTTCAGCTACCAGTTGGCCAAACTTTGGGGAGGCAAGACGTAGAATTTGTCCAGTAATGGCTATCACAACCGATGCCAACAATGGACCTACAAAAATTGATATTACAATTAAAAACAGTTATGTACATTCCCTTCAAATTCTGCAATTCTCAGCTAAACTGTCTTACCCTGTACGCTTCTAGCTCCCATTTTGGCAGAGAATGAAATAAGTGCAATGCCCACCAGTGCACAATCCAACAGTGGCTTGGTCAAGCTCGAATATAAATGTGCCACAGAACCTGCCAGTTCAGACAAATCGTCTGTCAGTCTTTGTTCAGCACCTCCGAGCCTAGTGTCTAACGCCGCCACTCTATAGTACGTCTGTTGACTCAGATACATTTTATAAGCGTGCTCCACCAGTCGTCCTCTTCGAAGAAAGAAACAAACAAAAACAAGAAACTAAACACTTGTCTTCGAACATTACGCATCCGGTTACGGGGATGAGATGGGGGAGGGGGACATCCGTTACAAAAAAAAGGGTACCAAAACCGTCATTCATGTAAGCTATACCTAAAACTGAGAGCCAATCTGCCTTCTAGATACCGGATGGCCGAGTTCACGAAGGTCGCTGGCAGAGCAATGGCGAACCATCTCGCGAGCATCAACGAGAATCCACGCACGTCCCGTAGCACGATCCTCTTCACGATCTGTCCCTCCAGTGTCGCTACGTAAACCGACAGGAACGTTCTCGCGAGCAACGTCAGTGTCGCGCAGGTCAACAGTCCAGCCTCCCTTGTTCGCCATCCGGGCACCATGATCCTCAGCAGAGCGATCAGCTGTTTAACGAATGCCCGGTCCAAACCGACGCTGCCGCCGGTTTTCCCGGTTTTAACGGGCGATCGTCCGTTAACGGGATCCCGCCGTCGCTGCCGGCACGAAACCTTATCGGGCGGCTGTTGCCGTTCATTCTTCTTGTTCTTTCTCTGCTGGTATCTCGTTATCCCGGAAGCGAGCAGTGGGTAGCCGATCTTTAGCAGGTAAAGCGTCGTTACCGCGCCAACGACGCCACGAGTCAGTGCTTCTTGCCTGATCCCGTATTTGGCGGCTGTTTTGTTGATCAACTTGGAAAACACCGACGACATCCTGCTGCGCTCGCATCGGTCTCACCGCTTGCGTGATGTATATGTATGTATATATGTATATACACTGCGACCGTATAATCGGAGGAGGAGAGGGGACCGTACCCGTGAATTCGTACGCTCGTCCGTCAACGGAGCAAACGACTTCTCGTTGTCGTCATGTTGCGACCGTTTCTTTCGGCCGTGTGGAATCCCTCTTATCGCGGATCACGACGGGGCTATACGAGAAACCACACGTACACCACACGCACGCACGAAATCCACCACACGCGCTCTTTCCGTGAACACACGATCCACGTAGGCCGGCCACCAGCTGGCGACTGCTCGTCGCAACTCTCGAGCGGTTCGGTCGCTCCGCTCTCTTTTGGACCCTCTCCTATAACGCGACGCGCGGAGTGGCAGAGCCGTCGTGTGTGACTGGTCCGTCGTCGTTGTCGTCGTCGTCGTCGTCTATCGTTGGACTTGGACCCGAGCTCGACGACCGGGTGAAGACAGAACGTGTGTGTCAGCCGCGTTTGTTACCGAGTCCACCGGTTCTCTAGTGCACATGTACGCTTGATCCTAAACGAACGTGTGATCCTGTCGTCGTCGTCGTCGTTGTTGACGCACTCTATTGTTTCCGATCACGCCGCGCAGCCTCCTCCGTGCGACCTTTTTCTTCTTGTCCCCTGTAGACGAATATAATGACAACGGTTATCTATGTTATTTAGATCGAGCACTGGTGGTATAATCCGGCTGATCGTACAATTGACGCTCCCTATTGGGCCCGCCGACGAGCGGAGAATTTGAATCGTTGGACTGTTGGGCATTGAATACGACGTTTCGGATTGTATCTTGGTTAATCTTGATGTTCGTATTGTTGGACCGCGGGATGTGTGACGAATGACACTGACGCGTAAATTCCTTTCGAAAAATGTTCTTCTTTTTTGGGATTGTTGATTCAATTTTTACTGGTTTTCTTGTAGACGGGTATGTTCCGTTGTCAGTGAGAAAAGATTTTATACACAGTGATAGCTCGTTGGTGTGCTATGAAACGTAGCAGACTACCATGGTTAGCTAATACTCTTGCGTAATAATAGTTATCTACAGAATAATCGTATATTCAAAGGTTTACACGCGATTATCTCGAAGCCCGATGTGCACAGGATTTCTCGATCGACTCGATGAAGAAATTAAAAATTTCACTTGGAACACACATACCTACATCCACTTTGAACTGATGTTTCATCAGTTTTCAGCAATTTCGTAAACAGGTTTCTACTAATTAAAATCCAGTTTGGATTTTTTATTTACATCCTCCTATATATCGAATAACACTTGCACATTGAGAATCGTTTTTTTTTGCCTTCGATATAGGTTTGCATCACCGGAGAATAATTTTCAAAAATCATCTATGAGGTGTTACTTCGTCTACTTCTAAATGCAGAGTCCACCTTAAAGTGGTCATATCGAATTTTTACAGTTATCGGTAAGTTCTATCGTCTATAGGATCGGTAGCACGCTCGATGCTTTGGGGCACACGAGTGCATTTGTGGATCAAAGTGCCGCTATGTAACTGTATCCGTGACCTTCCTCTCCTCGCGCAGAAGATAAGATTGCACATGTGTGCGGGATCGGAACATCCGATTAGACGCCTTCTGAACGACGCGTTTCTCCCACGAGAGTAGAGGTTCAAGTCTTCAAGTTTCTTTGTCCTCTTCGTTTTCCTTGTCTCTTCCGCGGTTCACTCGCCCCCCCCCTCCGTCGCTCCCCACTCCTCCTTTCTCTTGAATTCCACACGGTTAAGGACAAAATGTCAGTGTCAATTGGAAAGATGACCGTCCTGATACTGAATTCGGATTATAAACGGAGTGAAGCGTACAGAATAGTATAACTCGTTTATTTTGATAATTCAAACAATGAAACGAAGAAAAAGTGGACTTAGATCGGGTTAAACAGAAACATCTCGTGTTAGTCTTTTCCCGTGGAAATGCTGACAGTAGTTGATGAAAACGCGAACACTCCGTTATGAATCACGTATCTGTCGCTGTCGGAATGGATGAGATAATCGAATGAATTCATTTCGAAGCTCAGAATTGAAGAACGCGGGCCGGAAGTGTGAAACGGAAATGAAACGAAAATTATTAATTTATCTCGCAACAATTGAATTTCTTCGTTTCTATAACATTGTGTAAAAATCGTTAACGATCGAAACCGATCGGGATACGACGAACGATCCTGAGAAATTTCCGACTTGCTCCAGGTAACTACCCGATAACGACAAAGCTGTTCTCTCGCTGGGATAACGGCACTCACTTTCCAGCGATTCTCGGCGCGCAAAAATCGGGATCGTTACACCCCGCGTATACATATAACGAAACTGCATAACCGATGCTCGCGGTCATTCGGGGCCTGGTATAATTGGGGTTGCACTATTACGTTGTCAGCGCGTGTTTTTCGATCCCAGCTGGCCGTGCTGCTGTGAGTCATCGGACGATTTTCTAGTCGACTTTCATCTCTTCTAGTCGGGGTACTACTTACGGGGCCCGTAGAGTCGAGGAGGAAAAAGAGATTGCTCGTAGAAAGAGCTGAGCCCGCGATACACGGAGAAAATGTGTCTGTTCCTCCTGCAATGGAATTGTTCGCGGTATCTCAGGATTGTTCGGTAATTGACTTCTTTAACAATTTTGTCTATTAGTGCAAGGGTTAGGAAACTCGAGTTTCAAAGAGGAAGTACCGATCGGAGAGCCTGGTGCTGTTGTAAAGATCAGCCAAAGGACAGGAGAAATGATAGCCAGTACGTGTAACGTGGGCACTGAAAGTATTAATAGCGAGGAGATGAACGAACGTACAATTTTATTATTCTGTTTGTCCCAATGGTAAGAGAAAAAAAAAGCTTCGACAGCTTGTGGAGTGCGAGCTATCGGATAGAACGAAAGCGAATGATGGAAGAAACCAGCTTGCCGATGGGTTACTTTTACTTTCTCTGTTTCGCGCGGAACGCAAAACACCGCCGTAGAACCGAAAGGAGTCCGCTTTCCCCCTGTCATCCTGGATCTCGTCGGGCCTGCTCTCAAAGTCCTTTGTGATCCATACGCGCGCGCGCGATCGATGTTGTCGAGTCGAGCTGGGACTATTCGAATAATTTAGCATTCGGATATTTCATAAGTATTCGCATACTACGAATAAACTTCCCATACTTACCTCAATATTCAAATACTCGAGTATTGTAATAGTTTATTTAATATTCTCCTGTGAAGATTCATGTAGTTATTGATATATTTCTATAATACAGTCCTGTTGTAATATTTTCATTGAATGCTACGACGATAACATTACACTTGTACGATGATTCATGAGTGCACTCGAGGTGCAATGTTTGCGCACACAATGATTCACGAAGAATGGAACAGTTTAAAACATTGTAGCATTTTTTAAACCTCAAAACGTAGTAAAATAAGGATTCTCATCAGGTTTCGTACTATTTATTTGCTATTATTAATATATTAAAATCCGTATGGTGAAAAATAAAATTCTGTTCAATTTTCTAAATCTGTAGCTGTGAAGTATTTACATAATCATCCGTTATGTAGTAATTACGGTGATTTTTTAATTTCTCTATAATAATAATATGACTTAGCATACATTACACGAGTGCAAAAGAGAAAAACTTGCAATCATTAATGTGATTATAGTTCGAACCAATAATTTCATAAAAACAGTAACACGAAGCATCATAAATGTCAATCATAAAATGTTTCACTGCGTTAACGTATATACATCGTTGGTTTCACAAAATAGTATATGTTGACGTACTTACTGCCGTGATCAGAGCCAATCTATTATTATTTACTCAGAAAATCTGCATATTCTGTTTTATATTCTACTCTGTAGTTCAGCCTTAGGCAAAATCGAGTTAACAATCGCCAATTAAACACTTCTACTTACGCAATCTCTCGTAATCTTGCCTTACATGTAAACCAAGTAAATCCTGAAGCTCACGATCGTTTGTAGTTTGATATTGATCAATAAACTTCAGCAGTTATTATTTTTAAATTAATAAATTCACTCACCGTAAAAAAAGAATATATTTATTTCGAATGTTTGTCACCTCAGGGTTAATATAATCGCCATTCGGGGAAAAGGTATTTCGAATACTTGTGATATGAATTTGATAAATTCTGAATACAATATGATTTTAGATTAATAAACTCTTCATTGAGGAAACAAGGTATTTCAGCAATTTATCACTTGATTTTAGTAAACTTGTTATCGCCAGATAAATAAATTTCGAATATTTATCATTTTAAATTAGCAAAATTATCATTGGGACAAAGGAATATTTCGAATGTTTATTTTGCAATTTTTGTTTCATAAACTCGTTATTGCTAGACAAAAAAATTTCAAATATTTACCATTTCGAACCAATAGCTTCGCCGTCGGGGAAAATGGTACTTTTAATATTGACCATTTCGCTTTGATAAACTCATGTTATCGTCGAAATCTGTATTCTGAACATTCATCATTTTACAACGGATCGAAACAGCTCTCGCTTTCTATTGATTCGATTTTACTTCTGTTTAGAAATCATTCCAATCGTGGCTTTTTAACGGCGTTGGTCCCACACTCGCGTCACTTTCTTGCAATATGGCCATTCAATTCGAGCTGTTGCAAAATACACGGGATTAACCAACGACAGACCTCATCTCGCGGAGCCCAGGCTTGTCCGCCGAACCGCGTTCCTAACACAGCTTTTTCCGACTCGATGAAATGAATGATAATTAATTTTTTACTAGTACGTACCGTGAGATTGCAAAACACGCGATTACAGCGTTTCCTTCCATCGTATCCGTTCCGTGTTCGCTGCGTCGGAACGATATCGCGGCTTAAAATTGTCGCGAACACACGACATTATCAATTATAATTTTCTTAAATAATCATTTTCACACCAACACCGTCATTCACCTGTCATTATCTGAATTCTTAAACGTGTCGTTTTTTATCCGATTTGTCGAATCTCTTAACACATAAGCCACACGACTATGTATTATAAATAATTCATGTATCTATGTATAAATTAGTACCTATTATATATAATTACTACTTATATATAAATTATTACTTATATATCTGTGAATATACAGGGTGAGTTACGAGAAAGAGAACACTTAAATACCTGTGTTAGTATTGAACTTAGGGGAAAATGTCAAAGAGGAAGTTTGTACTGTTCTAAGGAGAAAATATGATAATAAAACGATATTTTGCTTGACGTTATCTTCAAGGTTGTTTATAGATCGTCGTT